GGGGGGGGGGGGGGAAAGATGGGCTGTTGTTGGCCATGTGGGAAAGAAAACTGAATCTATGTAAGAAATCAACGGTTTTTCAAGTGCACTGGTAGTGCATTATGAGAGAGAGAGGATTTGTTAGTACTCTTTGTGAAACTTGATCACTGGCTGCAAAACGACTGATGAATTTGCGGATAAAACCCAACACCCGGCGCACAATATCCTGTAACAAATGATTGCTAAGAAGGGGTTCTAAATCTCTGTGGAATGAATACACTTTACGTTAGCAGGTAGCTGTAAAGGATGGATTTACACGAAATGGTTTTTAGAAATGAATACCAAAAAGGGAAATTGTTCGAAAAGCGAGAAAACATTCTAGCAGTTTCGTCGGAAACTGTTGAGCGTGGCACTGATAAAGATGACGATGAGGCCAAAGTAGTCACAGATGATCATCTTGATACGTTCGTTTTCTTTTATTTAAAGCATTGTCATTTTCCCCCGCGAAAATGCATGCGGCTTTAGCTGTTTTATGAAATTTCATTTTTTTTTTTTTTAAATTTGCCGTTTGTTATTTTGTTTACTTCTTAGTTACAACTGGTTCAGCAAGCTACTTTTCCTCGTATGGGAATAGGACATCTGGTCCATCTTTCACACCACTTCATCTTTGCTTTTCCTTCGCAAATTCACAGTTTTCAATTATTCGCGGTTAATTAGATCGCTTTTTTTTTTCTTGTAGGAAATGTATGAACAAAAACGGTAAGGAATTACTCGCTGATGAAGGAACAAAAAATTCAGTCAGTTCGGGTGAACTGAACATCGATGGGCCTTGCATTGGACGAAAAATGGTCAGACGTACAGTAATTGCTCTTCTGGAAGTGTTCGCGAATTTCAAAACACCGAAAACAATACATATGGCCGGTGAAATTCGGAACTTGTATGACGAGGTAGGGTTTGTTTTTATGCTTTTTTCGCTGTGTAACAGCAACACAAAACACACTTTCATTCCTTTTTGTGCGTGTGTTTGAGTTTGTGTGTATGTATATTTGAGTGTCATTAGCAAAAGTTGAGGGAATACCGATATTTCCGGCAAAATTACTCTCCCTCACCCTCTCGCCTTCAAAATCGGCCTTCGGCAACGAACGATTCGATTTCAGACGGGAGAGCATGTCTTGTTTGCCACTGCTTCCTGTTTTCTATCTCCTGTGTGCTCAAATAGCATTCCTCTGCATTTGCATTTTTCCACTTTTTAACTCAGTCGAAGATTTCCGAACTCATACGATTTTTTGCTTTTTTTTTTTCTGGTTTCTTTACCTCGCGACACTTTTTTGCACTTTTTTCGTACCTTCGGGATCCTGTCGCTCCTACCAAAGTAGAAGAGGGCTTGTAAATTGCTTATTTCGTGCATCATTCCAGAATTTTGTAATTTGAGACAAAAAGCGACGTAGGACTTAAACTCTCTTCTTTGGTTTCGTGTGTGACCACTTTCTGCGCTTCAAATACATCAGATTTACAGTTCTGGATTTATAAAACATGCCTAGTAATTCTTTCCACAGCAGCAGCAGCACTTGCTTACGATAGCGTTACGACGTACCACACCATCAGTACATTTGTACTGTGCCCAGAACATTG